GGCTCCCCACTCGCTGCCCCGCACCAGCCTCTGCCCCCCAATGTGCTCGCGCCAGGCCAGGGGTCGCCCAGGCAGGTGTCCACGCTCCGGCCAGCCTCCCCAGAGCCCCCATATGCCCCCAGGTGCCAGCCACAGGCCCGGGCAGCAGCCACAGGGTCTCCAGGAGTCCAGAGGCCGGGACTGCAGGCTGCCGGAACAGAAGGCGCCGGTTGGCTGATCTAGGCGGGGTCAGCAAAGCTGAGAGCGGGGTGCCCAGGCTGCAGCATGCGGATGCCAGCTGAGGGGCTGACTGAGCGCCCGGCTCTGTGCTGTGTCCCAGCACCGCAGCTCTTTCTTGGGGTGGTGAAGTCAGAGTGTGCGGTCCCGGGCGTCAAGGTCCAGCCCGGGCCTGAAGACACGTGGACACTCCCACGGTTCCCTCTCCTTTGCAGGTGCTCCCGTGGGGTAGGGTGTCCCCCTGGCGATGGGTGGGCCCGCTGTCCTCCCCGCCGTGTGCCCATTGGCTTCGGGGGAGCGCCCCGTAGCGTGCAGTCATCACATTTAACTTCTACACGAGACAAGCTGAAGACAAGCTGTCCTGGGCCCTCCCTGGTGGCGCGTGGGTTAAAACAGAGCTCTGCAAAGCTGGCCATGGCCGCTTCAACGCGAGTTCCACCCCCGGCCAGGGAGGGACCCCAGGGCGCGGCAGACTCCTCCTGTCTCCCCGCTGCCCCCTCAGCAGTGTGTTTCCGAGGATCTGCCTGTTCTGTTCCCTGCTCTGTCTCTGGGGAGTCCTCTCACCCCTGTAGGTCTGGCCTGTACCCCAGTTCTGTATGCACAAATAAATAAATAAATCTTTAAAGACAAGCTGACCTCTCAAGGGACCACAAGAGTTCTCACAAACATAGCTCGTCCAGCCGAAAATATGCAAGTGGGAGGCAGAATTGTCGAAAGAGATCAAACTCATCCGCGCTGAGATCTTTGCAGTCCCCTGCAGTCTGGGTCGGGCCTCCCCATCCCCAACTGCAACCTGCCTCCAACTCAGATCCGCTAACCTCTAACTCAGATCCCCAGGCACATCAATTATCCCTATGGCTCAGCTGATTGTGCTTGCTAATTGAAAGGCCCAAAAAGGAAATGCTAATTGGCACCCTATCTTCCCCACAATAGCAAACCTGCCTTAAGGGAATGTTTGGCCCTAGGGGCTTAGAAACATTCATTCAGTAATTGTGAGCCAGGATCTTTCTGCTCTGAGTGGGAAATACCTGGGGGGGGGGGGCTCAAAAACTGAGAACAAACATATGAATAAATACAAAAAGCTCAACACCATCTGCCATCAGGGCATTGCAAATTAAAAACAACCCGGAGACACCCCAACACCTCACACGGCACTCAAGTGGCCCAAATCCAAAATACCGCCAGCCCCAGATGCTGGCGAGCGCCGGGGGCCGCAGCTGCGTTTCTGGAGCCAAAGCCGGCAGGAGGCGCAGCACGCGCACCCGGCAACTGCTGACCCAGGAGAAGCCACTGGCCCGGCGACTGCTGACCCAGGAGAAGCCACTGGCCCGGCGACTGCTGACCCAGGAGAAGCCACTGGCCC